CTGTGATTATATGTTGAATCCAGCCTCTTCTTCTGCTCAAATTTCTGAGTTATCCTTAAAAAAAAAAACAATCACACTAAAGGGGTAAAGCAAATATATGACAGAAGGGTCAAACAATGTGACAAAAAAAACCTCAAGTGCGCTCACACTCTGAAGCAGAAACAAAGAAATCACATCACATCCTGAATTAACAAAAGACGTCGTGTTACCAACTATGTCTCCAATAAAAAAAGATTGTAAGACCACTACTTCTGTGTCAAGCTGACCTTGTTGAATGAAAAACTCCATACTGCCTTATTCTGTCTGTATCTTTCAGATACATCACACATTTTCTGAGAGTTATCTTTTGTACACGACGTTCTGAATGTATTCTGTGACCATGGCAGACAGATAGCTTGTGTCTACAAATATTCTACGGTTACAATCCCTCTTTGTCAGAAACATGCAGACTGCTGTCAGGCTGTCTGTACTTTTGTCTGACCCCTTTGCAAAGGTAAACAAAACTCACACAGACAACCAGGATGTGTGCACCTCAATTTATTTCAGATTTCCACAAGTCTTGATTAGGGTCTAATGCTCTGTAAAGCCAGTAAATGCAAAGAAAGCATGGCTGTAGTAAACTATGTACATACATAATACAGTCTACAACCTTAGCATTTACCGAAAGTACCACTTGTAAGTTGTGTTCACATAGACACCTCAAACAAGCATGCTGCTGCCACATTTTTGCTTTGATATTTCATTCCCCATGGTGAATATCTTAAAGGTGCAGTAAGTTTTCTTTGGTTTTTTTATACATTGATTCATGCATTATTACATCTTCCAGCAAACTGATGCCTTCTAATAAACTTAGAAAGAATCCATAAAGCTAACGTGTTGCCCCAACATCTTGCATACAGTGGGCAGGATGGACACCGCCGTTCCATTTAATCGCATTTTATGTATGTAGCTATACACCGGCCACAGTCATAGTATGACTCAGAAGTTATTTGTGATCTTTAAATGAAAAGTATCCATTTCAAGCTATACATGACCATTTAACATCTATCTGTGCATATTTTCATCATCTCTTTCTCATCATGTCTCTCTCATTCATCTCTACCACAGCCTCTTCCTCCTCACCTCAAGCCTCATGTCCTGAACGGAAGTCGGGCTGAAACACACAAAACCGTGCTTATGTATTCCCAATATTATTGCAGTTTTGCGATCAGCTGAGCGCACCATCCGCTCCGAGCTCCCTGACCTGCACTCAATCTACAGCAGGCGGTGCTGGACCAAGGCCAGGAAGATCGTGAAGGACCTCAGCCATCCCAACAACAGACT